GAAACATCCCTTTGAGCCTATGGCTTCCTGTGATGTTAAGTTTCTTTCCCTAAAGACTCTGTTTCTAGTTGTAGTTAACGTCTGCTAGAAGAGCAAGTGAGTTGGCTGCCCTAAGGTCTGATCCTCCTTACCTGCAATTATATAAGGACAAAGTTATGCTGTTTCCAGATGTTTCGTTCCTGCCTAAAGTTGTCACAGATTTTCACCTCAATCAACCTATTTCGTTACCTACCTTGTTTTCTGATCCTTCGTCTGACGTCGAGAAGATGCTCCATTCCCTAGATATTAGAAGGGTGTTTCCAGGACAAAGGACTTTCGAAAATCTGAAAGACTTTTCCTGTGCTTCTTTGGACCACACAAGAGTTGTCCAGCGTCATCTTCTACCTTGTCACGGTGGCTTGTCTCCACTATTACTCTTGCCTATCAGATTGCAAGTAAAGATGTGCCTGAAGGTCTTAAAGGAGATTCCACAAGGTCCATGGCAACATCGACTGCCTTACTACGTGGTGTGGACATTCCAGACATCTGCAAGGCTGCTACATGGTCCAGAGTGTCCACATTTGTCACCCACTAAAGGCTGGACCTTTGGTCAAAGAAGGAGACGAGTTTTGGAAGGGCTGTCTTGACATCTGTCCTGCAGTGATGGCCCTCCTTCCGGTAAGTTAGCTTGTCAGTCACCCAAATGTGTGATTCACAGAGACCACACTGAAGAAAGAAAGGTTACTTACCTGTAACCATGGTTCTTCAAGTGGATCTCTCTGAATTCACACATTCCCATCTGGGTTCTTCAAGTGGACCTCTCTGAATTCACATATTCCCTTCCCACTATCCGTCACTGCTTATGTTATAATGAGCTCTTGCTCTAGCAATGGCAGATAAATGGAACTGGAGGCGGGGAGGGAATGGAGCATATGTGCTAGGGGCAACCTAAACTTTGTATCTTTTTCAGAAAAGCTCTAGAAGGTTCCAAAGTTCCAGCACAGGCGCTGATTTAACCCAAATGTGTGAATCCACAGAGATCCACTAGCAGAACCATGGTTACAGGTAAGTAATCTTTCTTTATAATGTCTCAAACTGCTTCTTACTAGGATTTTCTTGCTGTAGTTCCTTGGATCTTTTTCCGCTTACTTTGTTATTTTCCAGAGCACAATCCTGTCTTCATGTTATAGGGGCTGCAAAGGAGAGAAGGATTTACTGTAAACCTTTGTTGCTCTACAGTTGCTGTGATGCCTCTTTGTGGCTTTGACATGCAGGGCCATTTTTCAGTTCTCCTACTGGACTAGGGATGTCAACAGCCTTTGCACTAAAGTTTGCCAATGACAGGGAGAGATTTTCTGTAATTAAAAACTTCCACCTTCCATCCAGCAGCTCCCATAGCTTCCATGAAATGAAATGTTCACATGTTGGACAAGCCATTGGAGAGATGGTGGAAGTCTTTAATTATATAAAAATCTCCCTCTGCTAGTGATATCTTCACCCTTCAGCAGACATAGTCATGCTAACAGGATTTTAATCATCCCCCCCAAAGAACAGCTTCCTGGGGGACTTTGATTGGGAAAATTAGCAGGTAATCTCTCCTCTAACACCATAAACCTGTTTTTGTTAATGCATCTGTTATCTTCTGTCAAACTGTGTCAACAAGAAGGTCTAGGCACTTGTTGAATTGGAAGGAAATGACTTGTTAACTCAAAAACACATTGCAATGCACATCCTGGAATAAGTACCATGTAATAGCAATCATGACAAGAACCCAATTAAAAATCACATACCATAGGGGAACATTTCACTGATGTGACTGTGGCTTCCAATAACTTTTAAATTTAAATTTAAAAATAAAATCACTTTTAAAGTGCAGAAACATCTTGATGACAAATGATCATCTAGTAAGACCTAATGACTATCTTTACACAAGTATTAATCAGTTGGTAAAAGAGAGAGACACACATTTGAGGATCTGCATAGAGGGTTTTGATATATGTATGCCATTCTGAATATTTGGGATAATGTGTAGTGCAAACTGTGTTTCAACAATTTTTGTAATTTGTGTACATATATACATTATTTTTGAACAGTTCCCTGCAGTCAACCATCCACAGTCTTTGGAAAGGAGATATTTAGGAATCTTAAGTGGTGTTTTACTTGATCTTATGAAGGTACGAATGTAGTCATTTTAATTCTGATTTGGTTCTGGCATTATTGTGGGACTTGTTTTTTTTAGTTCAAAAAGCATCTCTGTTTCAAACGTTTGAGATTGTAATTCTGGAAAACTGTCTTGCTTAATATTGTTATACATTGAGGGAGTCCTTTTCATCTACAGTGGTGCCTCGCATAGCGACAATCGGTGCAGCAAAAATCGCTGCAAAGCGATTTCGTCGCTATGCGATATTAAAAAGCCCATAGGAATGCATTGAAACCCCTTCAATGTGTTCCTATGGGCTTCAGACTCACCTTTAAATGAAAATCCTCCATACGGCAGCCATTTTTGCTGCCCGGTAAGCGAGGAATCCGTCCCAGAAAATAGCAGGCAGCCATTTTTTTAACCCGGTGGCCATTTTGGAACTGCCGATCGGCTGTTAAAAAAATCATCGCTTTGCGATGATTGGTAAGCGAAACGGTACCAATCATTGCAAAGCGATTTTTCCCCATAGGGAACATCACAAAGTGATCGCAAAAGCGATCGCAAAAAGTTAATCGCTATGCGATTTCATCGTTAAATGGGGCGCCCATTAAGCGAGGCACCACTGTATTCCTTTTTTCCCCATTTTCTCTGAAAGAAACATAACTCTCCATGTTTATAATAATGTAGAACTATTTGCTAGTTATGCAAGGAATCTTCTTTCTTTTTGTAAATTGACACCTTTGTTATTACAGTGTTAATCATGGTAGTGAATGTGCAGTAATCCTGCTATCCCCCAAAATATTTTCATTTACTTTAGTGAAACAAATGATAGATATGCAGGAAAAAATGTTTATAAAACTCAAGACTCAGTGAAGATTTCTTGGTTTCAGACAGGAAGATAACCCAAATGCTGCCCTCTGTAATCCTTCGCAGGTTTAATGGTGCCAGCGGCACCAGATCCTAAGTATTTACAGCATAAATATAAATATGTTGCTTAAAAGTACATCTGGCTCTTTTTTTGGGAAAGAAGATTTTAAATCCATGACTTGAGGAAGAAAGAAGTCGACAGTTTCAGATAGTTTTCAGGTGCACATGATACTTGTCATAAATTATTAACATGATGCAAATATTAATTGTACAAATTATTTAACATCTACATGAGGCATAAATCAACTTTGTTTCTTAAACCTGAATTTCTGTTCAAAAGAACTTGCTGAAACTGGATCCAGCTGAAAGATACTTAACAGAGCAGTGTCTTAACCACCCAGCATTCCAAACTCAGAGGCTTTTAGATCGTTCACCTTCCCGATCCACTAAAAGGAAACCTTATCATGGAGATAGCAACACCTTATCCAACAGGTAAATAAGTGAAAGTTATTGTGTCAGTGGCTTGGTTATGTAATGTAATTTGGACTGTTAAGAAAGCCAGAATAGAAGAAACTGAATAATTTTTTCAAATGTAGGTATAACATTTTAATGCATGATCCCCCCCCAACATATCTTCAGTAGACGTCCTAATGAAAAACATTTTAAACTGACTTTAGCATATACAGTAATTTGCAGTCCAAATGAAAAGGTGTTCTCTTATAATAGGTAAGGAGAATACAGATGTCTCTGGGCCCATTGCTCAGAGGAACCTTATTCATTCAATCAATGGTAAAGTGAAGAGCACTGTCATAGTAGCTGGTGAGAGCTATTGTGTTGAAGTTCAGAAGTGGGAATATCTTGTTTGTATATATGTACAGCCACCTTGAGCCCCCCCCCCAATGTCTCAGCATAGCAGTCGATAAATCTGTAGTATTAGGAACCATTGTGTGTTTATTAGAAGTGATTGCTTTAATTTTTTTTGTGTCTGCTACTACTGCTTTTAAAAAAACTAAACTATGTTGTCTTTGATACAATTTTTTGTCCATTTGGGCTTCAGTCCATACTGTGCTTATTTATTTGTAAGAAATCTAAATGCCAATATAGTTTACAACTGTAGTGTTGATGTTTAAAGGCAGTATTAACGTGGGCTTTCTTTGTGTATTTATAATATAGAAATCAAGCTAGCAAAAGTACTACTGTGCAGTCTCACCACAGATCAAACAGCAAAGATATGCAAAATGTGGGAGTCGGACCACAAAGAGAAGAGGCTCTTCCAACAAATGAAAGCTTTCTAAACGGAAACCTTCCTGTAAACACACATAGTCCAATGCTTTCAAAAAAGCCAAGCAATCCTCCTGGATCTGGAAACAAGGACTTGGCCAACAACAACATACCACATCTTCTGAGTCCCAAAGAAGCAAAAACAAAAAATGAATTTGATTTTAGTTCAGATCCCAAAGCTTCAGATGGTCCAGGTACAAAGTATCTGAAGTCAAATTCTAGATCTCAGCATAACCGTCATTCATTTATGGAAAGTTCTCAAAGCAAAACTAGCACACTGCAACCAGGAGAAAGGCATAACCGACACAGTTATATTGATACTATTCCTCAGTCTTCAAAGAGCCCTTCATATCGAACCAAATCAAAAAGTCATGGAGCCCTGACAGACTCCAAATCTGTGGGTAATCTTTCAGAGGCCAGAGTTCAAGTTGCAGAGCCAAACAACAGCAGGTATTTTCCATCCAGTTGCGTGGATTTGAACTCTCCTACGACACCAACACCACCTCGCCATGCTGACAACAGAACTTTGCTCAGCCCTTCTGGAAGAAATAACAGAAATGATGGTACCCTTGAGTCCCGAAGGCCATCAACAAGGCATTCTAAGACCATGGAGGAGTTGAAATTGCCAGATCACAAGGATGGAAGCCATTCACACTCTTTATCTGCTCCTCACGAATCTTTTTCTTATGGTCTAGGCTACACAAGTCCCTTTTCCTCACAGCAGCGCCCTCATAGACATTCTATGTATGTGAGCCGGGACAGAGTGAGGACAAAGGGCTCAGAGGGTGGCTTGAACATAGGGCAAGGGATGGCAGCTAGAGCAAATAGCCTGCAACTGTTATCTCCACAGGTGCAGCATAAGACACTCACCAGATCTGTTGGCTCTTCACGGGAAGACTGTACTGAAGATTCCAACAGGGTTAGTCTGAAGTGCTGACGTCTCTGTGTTGGAGAGAAGCTTACTCCAAATCAATCTGTCTGTTTGTCTTTCTGTTTACAGTATCTTTATGAGGAAATGCAACAACGAAGTGCTGACGTCTCTGTGTTGGAGAGAAACTTATTCCAAATCAATCTGTCTGTCTTTCTGTTTACAGTATCTTTCTGAGGAAATGCAACAAAAATTGTTATATTAGCTTTTCTTTGTTTTGTAATGAAGGACTTACACCTCTCCAATACCTGGAGTCTTGCTATGACATGAATTAGATGCCTTATTCTGTAAAATAAGTGATCTCTTGTGTGATTTTGTGAGCTTAGTCCTAATAATGCTGAGTCTTCTGTGTCATGAAATTGTTTTCATCTTAACACTTTTGTGGCATTCCCCTGGGACACCCCCCCAGCACCTGATCCCCTGAAATAATGGCTGAAATCCTGTTGACATAAATTTATATTATGCAAGCTTGATGATGTCATCATCTGGCATTGTTTATATTTAATTTAATTTAAAATGTCTTATTCCCCCCCTTGTTCAGGTTCCAAGGCTCCCCAGGAATCCCTTTTGCCCTTGGGAAGCCTTTCGGAGGTCCAGGATGGTGTGAGGGGAGGGAATCTTTAATATCAAAATCACCACCAAATTGGCACCAATACTGAGGAGACTGCTGCTAGTGGTGATTATATATATATAGTATATTAAAGGCTCCGTTCTCCAGTTCCAAGGCTTCCAGAGACTTTCCAAGAGCAAAAGGAATCCCTAAAGAGCTTCTGAACCTGAAAAGGGGTGAGGGATTAAAGATACCTTGGCTTGCTCAATCTGTGCCAGCACTATTCCAGCCAATTTAATCTGAAAATATTTGAGCTTTTTTTCTGGCTCAAAGTAAAGGTCCTTTTGTCATGTCTAGAGGGTGTGGAAGCAATATTTAGGGGAGGCCCAGCACACTAGAGGCCTCCAAACTTATGCAGATTTTTAAAAAGGGTTGGCAACTAAGAGCAGGCATGGGTATATTTTTGATAAAGAAAAAACTCTAAGAAAAAATGGGGGATGAGTCATAGGAGCATATGTGGTCTTCCAAGATCCAGGGATAGATACGTTTAGACTTAGATGTCTTGAGGTTGCTTGCTTGTAGTCCAGTTTTTTGAATGCCCTTATTTGCGTGTTGTTTCTCAAGGTGATTTTGAATACCTCTTTAATGTTGGTCTTTGGAAAAGAAAGAGCAGGTTATACATACAAGAAATTTAGGCCTGGTTTCTATGCCTTTCTCCTTCCTTTTTTGGATTTTGGAGAAGCAGAGCAGACAATATTCCACTTAGGGTTATACCAAATAAAGCAGGTATTGGTCTGATGCACAAGTATTACAGACTTTATTCTTGCAGGTTGGAACAGATTCTGGGTTTCAAAGTGTAGTAGAGCCATTAGTGACATAATCAGCCATGTGAAATGCTCTCTTTTTTGGCTTTGTTCTGAATTATTTAAATGATCAAAATAAGAATGGTATTTTATCAAGCACCATACAGTCTACATTCAGCTTGATGGGTTACACAGGCTTTCTCTAATCATGTTCTCTTATTCTGTTTTTCTTTGCAAGCACTAAATATTTGAAATATTTGAATTCAGAATCAGCAGAACATTGGCTATTACAAATGAACTTCAGTATTGCACTTTTATTGCTTTCCATGTGCTTCCATAGTTTAGGCATAGTTATCAGCTTCCACGTGTAGGGATAGTTTAATTCCTTTCTCTGCTGTATCATTTGCTGCTGCAGATGTGTGTTTTCGTGATAGACATGGTCAGTTCATTAGTAATAAAATGCTCCTCCAAATAAAAACATTTTTAAAATGAGATCATTGCATACTTAGGCTACAGCTACTATAGAGTAAAACAGTTTGTGGGAACTACCCATTGGAGTAGGGTAGGGCAAGTGCTGGGAAATATTTATCCAGGCCTGGAACCCTTTCAGACTATACCAGGCACTGCAAATGAAATGAGAAGGGTACTTACACTTTTAAATCCCCCATGTTTCCAAAACAAACTGTGGAGAAATACTTTGTTTTGGAAAATAACCATACTTTGTAGATGAACAATTCCCCCATCTTAAAAATTTTATCTTGGAATTGTTTTTGTCCAAAAATGGCCAGCTCCTCCTGTAGCCACTGGGCATTTAAATGTAACAGATAAGTAGACTTGTGGAATTTACTGCCACAAAATGTAACACAATGTAGCGTCAAATGGCTTTAAAAGGTAGCTGCATAAGCTTATGGAAAATATGTGTGCCAGTTTACCATAAATCCAGTACTGAACTTGCACATTTGTGTAGCTCTGGTATCTAGTCACTAGGAGAGTAAACAGCAATGAGAAGTGACAACTTTATGCAGCACTCAAGAAATCCTTGACAAATGCTGAATAGGTTGGTTCACTGGCTTCATCTAATCTAGCAGGGTTGTTACTACATTGGGAACACATGGCATTACTGTATCTGATTTCTAACACTCAAAATACAGTGGTGCCTCACACGATGTTAATTGGTTCCAAAAAAATCAGCGTTGTGTGAAACATCGTTCTGTGAAACACCATTTCCCATAGGAATGCATTGAAAACCGGTTAATCCGTTCCAATTGGAACGGATTGCCGTCTTGAAGTGAAAAAACCCATAGGAAACATCATTGAGTGAAACAATGTTTCCTCCATTGGAATGTATTGAAGCCGACTCAATACATTTCAGTGGCTTTGCGAAGTCCGTTTTTGCTCATTTAAAAGTACCTTACAATGTTTGGAACAGGTTTTAAATGCTTGCAATCGTCAGCCCACCTCCTGAACCCTATGCAAACTTAATTTGGTGTTGTTCTGAGTCGTCCTTAATTTTTGGTGATTTTTTTAATTTTCTCTCATTGGAATGCATGCATTGGAAAAGGGACATCGGAAAGGACTTCAAAAGCACTGAAGCCGGTTTCAGTGCTTTTGAAGCTCTTCCGTTTTCGCTCATTTTTAAGGGTCTTACAATGTTTGGAACATGTTTTAAATGCTTGCAATCGTTAGCCCACCTCCTGAACCCTATGCAAACTTAATTTGGTGTTGTTCTGAGTCGTCCTTAATTTTTGGTGATTTTTTGTTTTCCCTATTTAAATGCATTGAACTGTCCATTCAGTTGATTTAAATGGGGAAAATAAAAAAATCACCAAAAATTAATGAAGACTCAGAACAAAACCAAATTAAGTTTGCACATGTTTCACAAGGTGCACTATGGAATCCAAGAATTTAAAACAGGTTTCAAACATTTTAAGACATTTTTAAATGAGCAAAAAGGGACATTGTTAAGTGGAATTCCCCCATAGAGAACATCGTTAAACGATGGGGGAAATTCCTCAAAAAAAACCATCGCTGTGTGAATTCATCGTTGTATGAAGCAATCGTTGTGCGAGGCACCACTGTACATTGCCATTTTATGTATTAGGGCACAGTTCTACACAATATCCCACTTTCTTTCTAGAGATCCAAGATCGTGTTCAGACAACTTAAGAGTAGTTACATAGTTAATATGTTCAGGAAATAATATTAAGATACTGTGGAGAGTTGCAGATACTTGATTATCATTGTCCAAAATGCTGTGGTGCAGTTACACAGATGGTGTAACTTTTGAAATCAATTTGCTATAAATTAAAAGATCTGCATAGATGTTATTTGTTGCAATTGGATTCATGCAATTTGGTGTGCCATAGGTAAGGTCTATGAAGTTATCTTAAATTGTTGTAGTTTTCCTCTAAAAGTTATGTCATTTGCATTACTGTGCAAAAGGATTTTTCAGCTATATCTTTATTATTTTTCAACCTTTATGCTTAACATTGCATTCCAAAGGCAAATCGTGTGTAAGATTAAAAGGGATATGATTGCTGCTTGTCAATGTTTCTGGTTTGGTCTCTTGGAGTAATCATCAGCCATTACTATATATGTTTTCAAAAATGGGATGACTATAACCTCATATTATTCTCCTTATCACAAATGAGGACATCACTAACATGCCCTATGGTGTAGAGTTCTTCACCCCAGCCTACTTGCCAAAGTTTGGAACATAGTTTATAAAGCTATATTCCCCCCGCCCCCATATTTGCCACTAGACTGTTTAAATTTAACCAGAACTAGATCATACAATGGTTTTAAGGTAGTCACACTTTTTAGTTAATAAAAAAAGGTCTCACTCACTTTATGATACTTAATATCATGGGGGGAGTCTGGATTGCTTTACAGGTCTTTATGTTATGGCTTTCGAAGAAACACCTTGCATGAATACTTTGAACAGATGAATTCCTTTTCACATCAGTGGAGGACAGAGCAAGCTATTTGGCTTAACAAATTGATTTTTGGGTTTTTTCTTTATTGTTTAGGGTGGAACATACCATGATCAGCATCCAGATGATGGAACATCCACAAAAGAAAACAGAATTCTCTATAATGATCCTGTACCTAGAAGAGTTGGTAGCTTTTACAGAGGTATATTTCTATCAGTTTGATCAAAATTCCTGTCATTGTTCTAATGAAAATAATTAAAAACAGAACAACTAACATTTAACTAGTGAATTGATCAGCATTTTAAATCTCAGTGCTTAGGTTGTGTCTGTGTATTGATAATTGGATGTGGATAACTGTGCATTCTTATATATTAACTGCTTCATACTTGTTGCTAGTTTTATTTCATGCGGAAAATACTATTTTTTGACTCTTTTCTATGCAAATTTGTTTCCCTAAATATAGTTAATTGTGTAATTTTATACAGTGTTACTGGGAAGTGAATCTCATTGTACAGAATAGATGTATATAAAACTTGCTGCTAGAATTAAATTGTGGTGCAACATTGAGGTGGAATTCGGCTGTTAACGTTGATTGACAGAACTGTGCTGGAAGAATCTTAAAATAGTAATCATTTTTAGGATATTTCCAAATTGATTATGTTTGTCTTATCATAGCATGTCATGTTTTACAGTAGACTAAAAAGTCTCTGGCTTTGGGGGGCTGTTGGTGAGCAATCTGAGATTTTGTGAGTGTATCATAGACTTTCTCATAAAATTATTTGCAATGCTGACCTTGACCATTCAGAAAATACCAGTTTCCAAGAAGGCACACTGATGAAGCTAACGGAAAGGTAGCATACCAAAGAACTGAATATAAGATAACAGTGTGAGCTAAGATACAAAATATAAAAGCACTTTTTTTGAATCAACTATTTTCTGGTCCAACATCCACTTCACCAAAGGCACACAGATGATTCCCAGAGGTAAATAATTTGTCCAAGAAGCTGAGACAGAGGTGGGGGATGTACTCCAAATGCTAAATTGTGCATTTCCCCCCAAATGAACTAACAAGTCATACCAAATAGCTTCTAGCCTCTGCCATATACTGTACTTCGTGCCATGCCTTATGATGTCCCCAGGAAGCTCTTCCCCATACCTCCTGTCACCATTTTTTAATGGCTGAGTACTCTTTGCAATGAAGAGGTACATTCCAGTTGTCCACAATCTCACCTTCAATAATGTCTCTGGATAATAAAGATGTTTCTGGGAAACTGACATGTCACTTTGCAGCACACCAGCTTTCTATATTTTTAAAATGTGAATCTTTTATTCTAAAACTTTTTTTAATGAAGAGAGATAGGAAGCCTATCTCTTTTGAGATAGGCATTGTCTTTAGGGCCAATATGCACTGCATTGGGGACCCAAAGATTAAAAAACATCCACAAGTATAATGTGGGGAAACTGCATTTTCTTCTGCCCAGCAGAAACACATATGAATATGAATCCATCATATTAGTTTGCTACCATAGAATAGGTTTTAGTGAACTTCATATATAGTAACTTGGTATTTCTCATTACAGTCCCATCTCCACGCCCAGAAGGAACATTCCTAGATAATAGTACCTCAAACAGAATACCAGCACTACCAACAGAAAGCAGTAGTGTAACAAGCCATTCAAAGAGACAAACTGCCTTTGATCCTTGGTAAGTTGGTGTTTTTTAATGTATATGATAGAAATGAAGTATATGATGGATGACATGTTTTTTAGCATCTTCTACCTTTGGCTTCTAGGCATGGTGTTCATATTCCTGTATTTTTAACAAGTTTTGGTCAAACTAAAATAAAATCATTTATAATTTTTAGAACTTTTTAATTCTTCAAATCAAAGGCTTTCTTATTTAATTAATTCTTATTTATTATTTAATTATTCTTATTTCTTATCAGTTTTAATCCTAGTTTTAATCTGATTTTCAGTATATTCTTTGTTTATAATCCCTCCTATTTATACTCCTTGTATGGTTTCATGAAAAAGAAAGATCGCATATATCCTATGTTGCAGGTTATCGCATAATTTTGAAAGCACATGATATGGATCATATACAAAATAAATTAATGTAATGCATTTTAATATAATTTAATGTGGACCATTTTTAATGTGTCTAAATGCATGTTGGCAATACTGCTAGTCATGACTGTTATTTCAGTGGATAAACTAAAAGAAATTGCCTAGAAGACTACAGTGGTGCCTCGCTTAATGGGCACTCCGTTTAGCGACGAAACCGCATAGCAATTAACTTTTTGTGATCGCAAAAGCAATTGTATTGCGATGTTTCCTATGCGGTTTTATCGCTTTGCAATGATCGGTTCCCTGTTTCGCTTACCGATCATCACGAAGCAATAATTTTTAAACAGCTGATTGGCTGTTCCAAAATGGCTGCCGGTTAAAAAAAATGGCTGCCCGCTGTGTTTTCGCGCCAATTCCTCGCATAAGAGGCAGCGAAAATGGACGCTGTGTGGTGGATCTTCGCTTTAAGGTCAGTTTTTTTGCCCATAGGAATGCATTAAACAGGTTTAAATGCGTCTCTGTGGGCTTTTTAAAATCGCATAGTGACAAAATCGCTTAGCAGCGATTTTTGCTGCACGGATTTACGTTGCTATGCGAGGCACTACTGTAGTTCTTTGTGGCATCTGTGAGTGCACACAATTGGGTTTGGACTGCTCCTGCGCAGGACTCATCAGAATATCCTAGAGCTTAAAACATGTGATTAATAGTACATTGCCCCATGGCACGCATGCTCCGCCCGCCCATAATACCTCAATTCCTTTTTGCCGCCGCTGCAATCGGAGTTCTTTGTACTACAGCTGTTTTTCTTCCAATTACCTGGTATTGAGTCTGGTCTGGTCTTTTGGTTATCGTCTGTATCTCTGTAATTTTGATCTTGGATTGTTTACGGATTATGATTTGGATTCTGATTTATACATTGTCCCTTCGGCTTTTGACTTATGGGCTGATTACCGATTCTCCCTTTTGGATTACGGACTTGATTGTGATTACTCAGCTTTTGACCTACGGACTGATTACCAATTCTCCCCTTTGGATTACGGACTTGATTGTGATTATTGATTGTGATTATTCAGATACTGACTCTGCTTGAATATTGGACAGTTCTTAACGTTTTCACGTAAGTCTTCCTTCCCTTTCCCCTTACCTCCTCTCCCCAGGTTCGAAGAATTTTATGGCCTCCTCAGGCCCTTTTAAGCAGTGTACTTTGCGTGCTAATAAGATCCCCTTCATGGACAGCCATGACTGCTGTTTGTTTTGTTTGGGGGAGAGACACCAAACTCACTCCTGTGAGGAGTGCAAGAAATTGAGCAAGCCAGCTCTTAAGCTCCGCTTGCAGAGGCTTAGATCATACCTCTGGGAAAAATCACTTTCCCCGTCAAGCCCAGCAACCATGGAATTGGCTGCGGTTCCATCCCCTACCCCTCGTCCTGAACCTGCTGCTTCTTTGGTCCCAGCTACTCCATCCCCGAGATCGTCCTCTAAGTCTTCTAAACAGAAATCTGCAATGTTGACATCCAAGAAAACTTCGACTTCGATGTCGAAACCACCATCTGCAGAAGGCCACAAGCGGAAAGGACAAGCATTCCTCCAAGTCTGCTCAACCTCGAGAAATTCCTCCGATTTCAACATTACTTCCATCACCCATACTTGAAGAATCATCTTGAGACCTGCCAGATCCGAACTCCCTCTCTGAAGGGATTGGGTCTGTACCACCTCCACAGGCTCAGGCTTTGGTTTCAATACCAAGCCAGTCTCCGACCAAGGCCATCTTGAGGCTGATGTCATCTCCAGGCTGGCCTCTGCCCATTCAAGCCCTATGTCTATCAGGCAGGCAACAGTAATTCGTCTATCAAATTTGTCGGTGTCACCACAGGCTGGCCTCTGCCCATTCAAGCCCTATCAGACAGGCAACAGTAATTCGGCTATATATATATAGGCATATATATATAGGCAGGATGGATATATATATATATATATCCATCCTGCCTATCTGGTCGTTATGACCACATCAGTCTCCTCTGAGGAAACGGACAACCAAAAGTCGTCACATTTCTCCAACCCAACAGTACCCTCAACATCGAGAAGTGGTTGTTCTTCCTCATCCCTCTCAGCGTTGAGTCCTGTTGGAGTACAAGGAGGCTTTATGTGTGGAAGTCAATCAGAGGGGTGATCAACATCGGTACCATGATGACAACTTCGATTTTGATCCCTATTACAAGACCAAAGAATATGGAAGACATAAAAGAGTGTGATATATCTATTCCTCTTCTTCCTCCCTGTCTCTCTCAATGTCGGCATCAAGCATGTTTTCAGCTCGAACCTTCAGCACCGAAGCTGGCTGTTAAGTGCCATGTTTCGTGCCAGGACATTTCTGAACAGATAGTCCACACATCGAAGATATCCCGCACTCCTTCAATACCGGCGTCCTCTGTTTCTCACTATCAGGCAGCACCCTCGCAGGTCCATCACCTGACTAAAGAGGGTGCTCCAGCATCGTCCCTTCAAGCCCCAGCCCAGGTATCAAGAAGACACCATCTATCACCTTCTCCTTCTCTTTCTGTTGCGAGGGGTTCTTCTGTTTCATCAGTGTCGGAGCAAGACTTACCTTCAGAGGCTTCAGAGGAATCTCCGTCTAACCTGCCTACTCCCGATTCAGATGTGGCCAACCTCCATCCTCCTTCTCCATCTGAGGACTTCACCTTGCACTCTCAAATGATTCTTAGAATGGCTAAATCACTTGAAATGGACATAGAGGAACCACCTCCTCCCAAACAAGATCTCATCTTCGACAACATTAATCAGGATAAATCCCCCCCAATAAATTTGGCATTCATTCCAGCAATGTTGGATCTCATTAAGGAACTGTGGAATCAACCGTCCATATCCCTGCAGATTCCCAGACAGGTGGAAAACCATTACAGAACTCATGGGAATGACACTGATTTCCTTACTAATCATCCTTCACCAATTTAATAATTGTACAATCAAACCAATCTCGAGCTGGAAACCACTCGAAGGTCACACCCGCCAACAGGGAAGGACAGAAACTAGATGTTTTGGGCCATAGGCTTTATTCCCTGGCCTCATTTGTTATGAGGGTATCGAATTATCAGGCAGCGATAGGGGTGTATCAGAGACAGTTATGGAGCAAGGTCTTGCCAGTTCTCCAGGCTGCTCCTGAGGAGACCAGGGCTGCTGTCCTCAACGCCCACTTAGAGGTAACAACGTTGGTGAAGCAACAGTGGTTAGCATCCCACCACACGGTGGATGCTGCTTCTAAAGCAATGTCATCTGCCATCGTGCTCAGAAGGCATGCGTGGTTGCGCTCAGCAGGGATCATGGATGATGTGAGATCCTGTATTGAGGACGTTCCCTTCGATGGCACTGGGTTGTTTAATGAAAAGACTGATGAGGTATTGGAGAATTTACACAAAATCAGGAAGACAGCTCGTTCCTATTCAGTCCAACAAGCACATTTCCAAAAGTATCAGTGGCTCAGACCCTTCAATCAACAATCTTATCAACAGCCTCCCCATCAAACTGAACGTCCTTACAGACCTCCCGCTGAAGGAAGATCCAACCCTCCACCGGCTTCTCCTGCTAACGTTGCCTTCAGGTCACAGGCTCCTGCCCAGCGTCGGCAAACCTTCCGTCAAACTGCAAATAAAGGCAAACAGTATCTTTGACTGTCTTACTCTGATCCATCCACCCAACATTTCTCATTATCCCTGACTAGCCCCCTTTTTTGATAAGTGGTTCCTCATCACCAAGGGCGTTTGCTGTCATACATTCTGGTTACCTCTTAGAGTTCACGGAGCTTTCTCACATCAGCCAACTCAGACTCATAACTTAAGCTCTAGAGGAGGAGATATCTATTCTTCTCCAAAAGCAGGCCATCCAATGCATTCTCCCTCAACAGGTTCCGGATGGTTTATATTCCCACTATTTCGCTGTTCCCAAAAAAGAATGCGGTCTCAGGCCTATCTAGACCTCAGACTATTGAACACTTACCTACATCCAAGGCGTTTCCAAATGGTCACCCTGGATTCCATCATTCCTCTTCTTTGTCAAAAGGGTTGGTTCGTCGTTATAGACCTACAAGATGCTTATTTTCATATTTCGATCCGTCAGCGTCATCGCAAATATCTTCGCTTTTATTTCATGGATACGGCTTATCAGCTCTGCGTTCTCCCCTTTGGGCTCTCCACTGCCCCAAGAACTTTCACGAAACGCATGACTCAGGTGGCAGCCTACCTCCATCTACACAACATCACAGTCTCCCCGTATATAGACAACTGGTTGATCATGGCCTCCTTTCTCAAAGCAGTGCAAGATACCAACTTTACTCTTCAGACACTGGCAGACCTTGGCCTGAGGGTCAATGTTGCAAAATCTTGTTTCCAGCCATCTCAGGTCATGGACTACATAGGTGCACGTCTGGACTCAGTCGATGTCAGAGTCTTCCTTCCACCCGAATGAATTCTAAAATTATGCCGGGAGATCCAACCTTTCCACCCCATCACCAAAGTCTCTGCCCATCACGCACAACATCTTCTAGGCCTCATGGCTTCGACTACATCTGCCCTTCCACACGCAAGACTGAAAATGCACTCTCTACAGGCTTGGTACGTATCTCAATTCAGTCCCTTGATGGACAGGCCTACCAAGTGCCTGTGTGTTACACCAGAGCTCACGGGGCAACTAACGTGGTGGACATTCGTGCCTCGCCTGCTCATGGCTGCCCCTTCCGGTCTATTCAGCTGACGGTCCAAGTTGCAACGGACACCAGTCCAACAGGTTGGGGTGCGCACTGCAGTCTTCACAAGATTCATGCCCTGTGGTCCAAGTCTGAGAAACTTCTTCACATAAACCATTTGGAAATGCTGGCAGTTATCAAGGCATTTTGTGCCTTTCACCCACTAATAGCAGGTCAAGGAGTGCAGGTGGTCACAGACAACACTATGCCCATGTACTATATCAACAAGCAGGGAGACACCTATTCGATGTCACTTCTGTACTTGGCAATTCATCTCTGGGAATGGTGTTACGACCATCATGTGTTTTCAGTCACCATTCATGTGTCCATAGAGGACAATGACATCGCCGACCAGTTGAGCCACATGAACGCTCAGACTCACGAATGAGAGCTTGACGATTCAGTTTTTTCTATGATCTGCAACCAATGGGGAACTCCAGACATCAACATGTTTGCAACCCAGTACAACACCAAGTGCAATATGTTCTGCTCTCGAATGGGGAGAGGCAGAGCCTCGCTGGGAGATGCATTCATGATAGACTGGGAGGACAGTCTCCTTTATCTGTTCCCTCCTATTCCACTGATCCAACGGAAACTGGTCAGGGCTCGTCAGCTAGGCACCAGGGCTATTCTAATGGCCCCATGGTGGCCTCAGCAACCATGGTTTACAGCATTCAAGACCATGGCAACCGAGTTTCTCAGACCTCTAATGGCCCCATGGTGGCCTCAGCAACCGTGGTTTACAGCATTCAAGACCATGGCAACTGAGTTTCTCAGGCTACCTTCTCATCTGCATCTCCTGACACAAGATGCAGGCAGGGTCTGTCATCCGGATCTGTAATCGTCTCATCTGCATCTCCTGACACAAGATGCAAGCAGGGTCTGTCATCCGGATCTATAATCGCTCCACCTTACACCTTAATCGCTCCCAATATAGCAGAGGCTTTGGAAAAAGCTAGAAAACCTACCAAGTTGTTATATTCCTACAAATGGAATATTTTCTCTAAATTTGCTGCTTCTAGAGGTCTGTCACCTATTCCTGTGTCCTTGAATACTCTTCTCGTCTTTCTGCACCACCTATTTGATCAGGGCTTAGCCCTTTCTACACTTAGTTTATATATCTGCTAATGTCTCTTATCAACCTGTGGGTACAGAAGCCACACATTTCTTTTCACACCCGACCCTGAAGATATTCCTAAGGGATAATAACATCCACCCACCTGTCCGACCTCCATTGCCTCAGTGGTCCTTACATGTTCTTACTCATCCTCCATTCGAGCCAATGGCTTCTTCAGACCTTCGACTCCTCTCCTTCAAGACACTGTTCCTGGTAGCAATAACTTCTGCACAGAGAACAAGTGAACTGGCTGCCCTTCGGGATGATGCCCCTTACATACAATTTCATCCAGATAAGATAATCCTGTATCCTGGTATCTCGTTCCTTCCTAAAGTTGTATTAAGTTTTCACATTAATCAACCTTTAATTCTCCCAACGTTATTCCCTAATCCTTCTTCAGACATTGAGCGCATGCTCCATTCCTTGGATGTTCGTCGTGCTTTAGCATTTTACATGTCCAGGACTAAAGACTTCCGCACTTCCTTTAGATTATTTGTATGCTTCCATGGCCCACATAAAGGCTCTCCTGCCTCTTCACAGACCATTTCTAGATGGATCGTGTCTGCCTATGAACTGGCTGGCAAAGCTCCACCAGAGGCATTAAAGGCACACTCTACGAGAGCTGTGGCTACTTCAACTGCCTTGTTGCGTGGCGTTGATGTTTCGGATATTTGCCGATCAGCCACCTAGTCCACACCATCTACCTTTGTGAAACACTACCGTCTGGACCTCAGGGCCAAGAAGGAAGGAAGTTTTGGAAGGGCTGTGCTGACTTTCTTGTTGGTGTAACAGCCCTCCTTCCAGTAAGTGAGCTTGTTTGTCACCCAATTGTGTGCATTCACAGAGGCCACGAAGAAGAAAGAAAGGTTATTTACCTGTACCCAAGATTCTTTGAGTGGTCCTCTGTGAATCCACACATCCTGCCCATCCTTCCTGCTGTCTGTCACTTGGTTCTTGAGCTTTGTTGGGGGTCAGAGCCTTGACAGCAGTGGACATTTTGGAACGGAGGTATTACGGGCAGGCGGAGCGTGCACGCCACAGGCAACGTACTATTAATCACATGTTTTAAGCTCTAGAATATTCTGAGGAGTCCTGTGCAGGCGCAGTCCAAACCCAATTGTGTGGGTTCACAGAGGACCACTCGAAGAACCATGGTTACAGGTAAGTAACCTTTCTGGTTTTGTTTAAAAGTAACCAAAGTAGATTTGCACATATAATTTTGCATTCTGTTTTGTGGTGATGCTGACAAAAAGAAGCACGTACTCTTTAATAGTGCATAGTTAATTACAAGGACCCATCTCTGCTGAATATTAACATGCATGGAAATTTCATTGCAAAAACTACAGTGGTGATCTGATGAGTTTGCTGGCCATGTGCTTGTTTGGGGGTGGCTGGCTCCTCAATAGATTGCCATGTCAGCTTCCTCAGCTGGAGCTCAGTGCATGGGCAGATACTGAACAAGATACTGGTCAAGATGAGTCGGAGAAAGAAACAGGCAGATTTATAGACCAAGAGCCTGCTAGTTGTTTTTGTAGTTCTCTTTGCATAGCAGTAACAGATCTTGGGGATGAACGACTGAGACAGTCATAACTTCAATGCCCCCATAATTAATACCCCAGAAAGTATCTAGCTGAGTGCAAATGGAACTTGAATCCAGGACTAGATGGACTTTGGTCTGGCCCAGCAAGGCAATCTGTGTTTTACCATCAGGTATTAAAACTTTGTCAACATGTTGGGGATTAGGAGGAAAATGAATTTCTGATGGAAATTAAAGAGCAATATTAGCAAGATATATCATAAACAAATATTTTATTGAGGTTTCATCTGTTGATTCTCTCAGCACGATAGATTAGAAATGTGTAAAGAGGATCTTATGTATACTTTCCTTGCCAATGTTCTTACTGAGAAGTTAGTTTCATTTACCTAGCTTTGTAGTCATTCTTTTCTTAAAAGGAGTATCAAGAGGCCCTGCCTCTTTATTCACATAAGGTGAGGTTTGGGGCATGGCATTTAAACGAAAATGGATATAAAAGACAACGTTGAGTGGAATGGAACCAGCTTTACCGGAGAAGTGAGCACCCTTTCCTCTGTAGCAGTCCATTAACTAGTATCTTCAGAAGGCTACAGTAATTATTATTTGTTTACAACTGAACAGAGTTGGAAGCTAGGGCTTGTGTAATTCACTGTGTCTTCCTGACTTCCTCATATAATTCAGATACTGAACTGCACAATGAAATATTGGCACTATTTAGATCTCACACACATAACCTGATTTGCCTATTACAGACATCTATGGAAAAGAAGTTTCTAATCCATGTTATATTTTTGCAACTGAGAGAGATTCTTCAGCTGTATTCTAGTAAAGATATTTTAGTTAGTTATCCATTCTATGTATCATTTTTCTGCCTTAAAATAGGACAAAAATATGACTTCGTAAGGTAGACTTATATGCAGTGTGCTCTGTGTTAAAGCTAAATTTATAGTGTGTGTATCTTTTTCCCTCTGTTAAGGAAAAGTCCTGAAAATGTTCATTCTGAACAACTAAAGGAAAAAGAGAAGCAAGGTTTTTTCAGGTCAATAAAAAAGAAAAAAAAGAAAGCTCAGTCGGTAAGTGACTTTTGTGCTTCTTAAAAATAAAATGAATGTGTATGTGTTTGGGGATTATCTTCAACTTTGGCTATATTTTATTATTGCACTATATTCTGCCTCCTCTTTGATATAAATCACTCAAATACCCTCGCTGGGTATTTTCAAAAAGCAACTAAAAACATTGATGTTTCTGCAGGCCTTCCCCCCTAGTTAATTCCTGATTCCCCTCACTTTTCTTTCCTAGTGTTTAACCTAACTGTTGTAAGTTTTCTTTTATGTAAAACTGCTTTGATTTTTTGTTGTACCCATTGTTGTAAGCCACCTAGAGTAGTCTTAATCGACTAGATAGGCGGGATATAAAATAAATAAATAAATAAATATCATTTTTCCTGTTTAAATATGTAATCTGAATTATATAATTATTAGACTAGAATCCAAAGGTCTAATTAGGCCCAGATAAGGAGCTTATGCAAGCCCATGGCATTTTTGACATTTGCTCTTGAATATTTGATTCCCAGATAATCAAACACTTTTAAAAAACTCCTTTGTAAAAGAAGTATCGTTTAAAAAAAGAAATTTACTATACAGAGAGGGCTAGTTAAAATTAAATAAAGAGAAAACTAAAGGGTATGAGATCCAACAAATGAACATTTTATTTTATTCATTCATTGAAAACATAAGTCCTTTATTTACCATAATTTTTTATTCGAAAAGGCCCTACAGAGGCTTACAAAGAACAACTCCATCAGGTTTACAAGCTAACAGACTTGAGACACAAAGTAAAATGGGGAGGGGGGAGAAGGGGAAGAGGCATTAGGGATAGGATGTTCATATTTCAAAGACTCCTACCTCCAGAATTCACCTGGAATACCCAGACAGAATTCTGGAATATTGTTGTTACATGCCGTCATATCGCCTCCAACTTGCAGCAACCCTATTGAATGCATGATCTCCAAAACGTCTTGTCCTCTATAGCAGTGGTTCTTAACCTTGGGTAACCCAGGTGTTCTTGGACTGCAAGTCCCAGAAGCCCCAACCAGCATAGCTGGTGGTGAAGGCTTCTGGGAATTGCAGTCCAAGAACACCTGGATTACCCAAGGTTAAGAACCACTGCTCTATAGCCCTGCTTAGCTCTTGTAAATTCAGTGATGTTGTCAAAATATGACAGCCTCAGTTTCATCATTTTTGCCTCCAGGGACAGATTTGCTGTAGGGCCCACTTACTCATCTTTCTGGCAGTCCAGGGTATCTTCAAAACTGTCCTCCCTTCCAGGAATGGGAAAGCATAAATAACAAGCAAAAGAGGGGGTTCCTATGTGAAGGCGAAGGAAGACACCCTGCTGCTTCCTGGCAGTATAGCAAGACTGCCTGGAGTCACTGCCATGCTATGTGGGAAGCACAGTATTGCTGCCTATTATTAGGATTTATACAGGGATCATTTCACACAACTATCTTACACATGCAGCATTGTAGTGACTCCCAGGCAATGTTGCTGTATTGCCAGTGAGCAGCAGGGCTCTTTCCTTCAAATCTGAAACACATGGAACAAAGTGGGATGGTGGTGGGGAAACCTCTTTAGGCTTGTTGTTTCTGCTCTCCTACTCCCAGAGTTCTGCTTTAGGGGTTCCAGGTGAATTCTCAAAGTGGGAGTCCTTGAAAGACAGAAATCCCATCCCCATTGGGCACCAGTTCTTCAAATTTGTTTCAAAAGCAGGTGGTATCTCTGTAGAGTTGATGGAATACTGTGGCCTCTTTCTTCTCTTCCTGCTCTGTCTTCACAGTTCAATCTTTGAGCTCTGTTGTCAGTTAAATATTCATATCTGGAAATAAAAATATTTTAAAAGAACTATTTATGCAGGAATACTCTGTTGACATGCACATAGTACAGCCAAAGCAGACACAAACATATTCAGCTTTTGCTATTTAAAAGTAACTCAGCTCATTATTGATTATTTTTTGATAGACCCACCTTCAGAGTTGCTGTCTTATGGTTCTTAGGATGGGATGTAATAATCATAGCTTAACTGTTACATTTAGATTATGTAGATTATGAAACTATGCACTTCAGCACTTCAGATGGAGTTAATATAGGCATGTTAAGCTTCAACCATGTAATCTGTGCAAAGAGGTAGTTTTAAGCATGTGGAACAAAGTTGCCCTGTAAGTGAATTTTGCATCATTTTTCATTTCATGTGTGCTTCCATTTCCACAAGGCTCTTAGAAAGGGGATAAAACAGTTAAATTTAAATTAGAATAATTGAGCAGTTTACTGGGCATCTGGTTTCATTGCAGAATAAACTGACTTAACAGAGCATATTATGGTGAATGGGTATATGCATCTGCACACCGAAATATTTGCTGTTTCTCCATATTGCAGAATGAGTGTATTGAAAACATGTGGTTCAATTTCATTTCTCTTATTTTCTATGTAATTTACAGCAGTAATAAGAACAGGATTTATTATATATTATATACAGTATTGTTAAATTTTCAGGAGTCTTGTAGATCTAAAAACTGATTCTGATTTTTCAGTTTATAAAATATTCTAATTGTTCCTGGTTACTTTGTAGCATTCTCCTTTGGAAATATAGTGCTGAATATAATTATATTGAAATTCCATCAAATTCATTTTCTCCAACTGAACACAGACAATAGTTTTTGTATATTGTTGTCAAAGTTTGGATAGTGCAGGTTGACTGTTCAGGCTCCATATTTTTGAAATCCTAATCTGATGGCTATTTCAAAACCCACCTGGCATGAACATTGTACATTTCATGCTTACTGTAGAGGAATCATTATCTGTTCTTCTCATATCTGAATCTTTACATTGATCCTTTGTCTGTATCAATATTTCTGGTTTTGTAGCAAGCCCATCTTAGTTGCACGAGCAAGTGTGGTTATAAGGATGTGAACCCAACATGTGGTACTGCCATGAGCAAAACACTTTCACAGAAGTGTTTTATGTTTTAAGTGACTTGAACAATGGATAGTACTGGAAGAAAGAATTCTGAGTTGAGGATCAAAAAATTGAAAGAGAAAATTAGTCTTCATTGCATATGTCTAGCTGCATATAAGTGTGTTATAGTGATCCAGTGACTTCTTCACCACACTGGCAAAATGTAGTCTGTTGTGATTATAGTCAGCCATGACAGTGAACAAGCATCATTGTTCTACCTCAGCTACTTAGTAATAGGCAACCACAACACAATTGTGCTGGCTTTGGAATGTTGGGATTTCTACCACATATCTGTTATGGTTCATCTCTTCTCATCTCTAGTAGTAAATGTAGATCAGTGCTTTTCTCCTCCATAGCTAGATCAGTGGGTGCAGCTGTTACATGGCACCAACATTAGGCTTTTTGCATTGTTTATATAGGGCTTTTAGGTCATAGAGGAGCCAGTTAACGTAAGTCACTGTGCCTAACTATTGTAATAATTATTATAATGTACCTTTGTAACGAATAGATTTAAAAAAATAATTACATGTCATCAAGTCGATTCTTACTTTTGGCAACAGCTTCAGTAGTGGCTAAGACATGCAAATATTCTCTGAGTTTTGCTTTCTCAAAGTGTTACCAGCTATTTACCTTCAGCCCACTTCTCATTGGAAGCGTTTTTGGAATATTAACAGAAGCCCATAAACAGAGCCAGAACAGTGTAAAGATTAAGGTGTCCGGCTAGCATTAGGAAGAAGCAAATTCAAACCTGTACACAGACATCCAGCTTCCTGGATAAAACTAGGAGAATCTCTGTCAGCCTACCACACTTCTTTTATTGTAAAGAAAAATGTGAGCAGTGATCAGTGTAATTGTCACAATTTTCAACATTTTGCTGGAAGAGATTTTGAAATTTTTAGGGGTCAGCTTTATGAGAAGCAAACACTGAAGTACAGATTATGAAAGAACAGAAAAGCAACAGCAACAAATAACTCTCCCTGCCACCATCATTCTTGAATCCCCTCTTCCTGCCATGAGAAGATTGTAGAAGTTTGCTCAGTCATCCAGTGCCCTTTTCTGTTTATGAAATGAAACTGTTGATCACCTCCAGATACAAAACTGTGCCTTATTAGATGGTAAAGATTGCTTTCTGCCAAGGATATAGAAGCACATTATCTTTGAACTGGACCTGTCAATTGTTTACTTTTCCTGTTCTCTACAGAAGCTCAGCCAACAGGGAACTGCAGTTCCTTGTGGCCTTTTGTTTGATGGAATTATAGTTAGGAGGCTTTTACTCCTCTGTTGTAGAATTCATAAAGCGATAGTGCTATGTAGCCCTTAGATGGCTCTTACAGGATAATCAAATTATGAATATACATGCATAAAAATACATCTGACAACATGGGCTACAGCCCACAAAAATTTGTGTGAAAACTTATATAAGCTTTTAATGTTTCACATGGCTTTTTGTAAAAATGGTGTAGAGATGTCTTTTTTCTAGAATCTAGATCAAGAAGCTTATGGTTATAAATAATTTCTTGTATGGTATCCAGACAGTGGGTGGACTCAAGTATTGATACTTCTAAGTAGCAGGATTATTCTTCTGAGCTGTTTAAAAACTGCTGGACACCTCCATTTTTCATCGCTGCAGTTGGTCCATTATATGTTTTCATTTTCCCCCATGTGCCTTTCTATCAATTGACATAATTCCTTCTGAAATAGCTACAGTATCTATAGGTTAGGTTCACAGTACAATCCCATATGTGTATTTGAAACTAGGTCTCATGTCAAGGGAGACTTGCTTCCCTTGTATGTCGGTTTAGGATTGTAGAATGTTAAATGTTTCTATTGAGCTTTCCCCCTTTATAGTTGAACATTTTAATAGAGTTATAGTTTGATTTACTTGTGTATGGAGGATGTATATTTGGCATGCTTATTTCTCTCAAAGCTTGCTGCTTCTAATTCATTTAAAATAATGAATAACACCTCACATTTTGAAAATAAAGGGATCCTTGTTTTTGGTTCATCTGCATAGCATGAAAATCAGCTAATACTGATGCTTGTAATAACCTTGGTCACAAAGTTCATGTGCTACATTGAAAAGCCTAGTACAGTGGTGCCTCGCTTGCCAAGGATAATTCATTCTGTTCAAATCGCTGTTAAGCGAAATCCTCATCAAGCGAAATTAACAAACCCATTGAAATGCATTGAAAACCGTTTCAGTGCGTTCTAATGGGCGAAATACCTGCTCGTTTTGCGAAGATCCTCCATAGGGCGGCCATTTTCTGGTGCCTGTAAAGCAAGGAATCCCTCCTAAACACAGCGGGGAGCCATTTTGCACAGCGGGCGGCCATTTTAGAGCTGCCAATCAGCTGTTTTAAATCGTCGTCTAGTGAAAAATCTGTTTCCGAACCAGGGAACCGATCATCGTTAAGCGATTTTTCCCCATAGGAACGTCATTTTGTGATCGCAATAGCGATTGCAAAAACTTCATCGTAAAGCGGTTTCGTCATTTACCGAGGTAATTGTTAAGCGAGGCACCACTGTAAAAATTAAGCATTCTAAACTTATTAAACAGATGCCTTGCTGATACACACATTCTTGGAATGCATTTAGTGTGTGGATAATCTTAAAGTGCTTTTTCCATAGATGTTTCTCATTGAGTAGAGCAATTGTTTCTTGACACAGTTGTAATACATAATGGTAATTTATAGAAGTCTTTTTTATATGTGCAGATAAGAAAAAAGGGTAGCTGTCCTAAATTACAGTTATTTATGCAATTAGTTTTTGTATCTTATATTACAGACAGAGACCACCAAGGCGGAGAATCCAAGCATCAAGAAATCTCTCTTTCCTCTTTTTAATTCAAAGAATCACTTAAAGCATAGTTCTTCTTTGAAAAAGATTCCTGTAGTCACTCTACCTATGGTATTAACTTTTAAGAATAGTAGCACTAAGTGAAAAAAAAAAGTCCACTAAATCTGTTTTACTGACCACAAGAGCATGTATTTTTTCTCCCGTGGGATCAGTTTCTTCATGCAAATTAAGCATCTTGAGCCAGTTCCCCAAATTCACAAGATTTGAATGGCGTTCTTCAGAATTCTAGAGAAGTAACTTTATAATTGTATTTTTAATAAAGGAATTTTTATGTCGGAACTTGCTATGCTTAGTAAACCACAAAATTAAACATCTGAAGTCAGGCAGCTAACTAAAGGGCAAATTATCCTTCTCATTGGAGTTGGCCTTGGTAAAGTAGAGGGTTGTTGCTTATACATTTATTTATTTATTTATTTATTTATTTATTTATTTATTTATTTATTTATTTATTTATTTATTTCCTGCCCATCTAGTTGTTTTGACTACTCTGGGCAGCATACATCAAACACAATGGTGTATGCCATGTATGCCATTAATGGTATGTTCCCTTTCATTAAATAAAAGCAGTAGGGTGAAACAAAAGCACTTCCTAAAACATAAGTCTTTTTTCCTGATTTACTTTAAGACTCATATTTTAATGGTGTTTATTTTCCTTATTTTAATAGTGGTGATCTGCTGTGCTTTGTTGGTTCCAGTTAGCAGCTTGGAGGCTAACTCTTCAGTGCTTCATGCCTTAATTGCCTCAAATCCTGAACTTCATCTGATGAAAACACACTTTCTATCCAACAGCACCTCCCCCATAAATCTAACAGTTAAACTGTCCGAAAGATAGATTAAACCAAATATTCCCCAGCAACTAAGTTGTTGCATTTAGTTTGCTACTTCTGTGATTAGAAGCCTCTTGTTTTTATTAGCCTAAAGCTTCCTTCCTTTTAGATTAGTGAGGGATAAATTGCTTCCTTCTACACACACTCCAAAGTGACAACCTGATAACTAAAATCGCATAGTGATCTTTTGTCTTTAGGCAAAACAAGGTTTTTGTGGAGGTGGCTCATGATTTTAAAAGCAGTACGGAATGCTATGGAAATGAGGATGAAACACAGCAATGCACTTTTTAAAAACTGATCTTTTTTACAGTGATTTTACTAACAGCATGTGAATGCCTTTATGGGTAGAGGTTATAACAAATGTGCATGTCACCTACAAATATGATCATTAAAATGGAGACATTGAAAGGGCATTGCAATAATAGGCTTCACCTGCATTGTTTTTAACTGGGAAGCAAGGAGAAGGGGGAAGCAACTTAGAGCATTCTTTCCTGGTAATTTATCAGCATCCAGTATTTTTCTGTGTTACAGATGCCTGGAGCTGACAGTCAGGATCTTTTGGCGTTACAGAAAGCTATTCATTCATCTAATCATCCAGCCAGCAGGCAGAAGGATTGGCATTCTGATAAGATGACAGAAATGCAAAGTCATGTGAGTTAAGTTATTGCTTCTTTTCATGTATTTTGTAGTGCATAGTAGATAAGGCTACCAGGTTGCAACCCTGGGTACACATATAACTTTACTTCTATTGCTAAATTAGGAGTTGTAGAAGCCAGCCACTTTTCCTTCCCACTTTCTCCTGGTTCTTTAGTTCTCCCATCCTCACTCTTTCTGTAACAAGTAAAACATTAAGTGGGAAAGCAGCAGGGTGTGGAATGATAAAAGGACAAAGGAGAAACTGATGGGAGGAGACACAGTGCTTTCTCTTCCCGCTGCAAAATTTGCTCACAATGGATAGGAAGGCCAGACTGGCAACCCAGATAACTAATTTTCCTTTAAAAGCCATTATTGCAACTAGTAAGAATGAGGCAGCATGCAAACACTGTTGTCGTTATGTAGAAAATTAAGAGTGTTTGTCTAGTGTTCCTGTTGGACGAAGATGTCAGGCAGCCGATGAGGCAGAGTGAAATGAAGGATTGGGAAATAGTCCATGCTTCCCTGTGCAAGATATCAGCAGGTTTACTTCCACTCTGCTGTGACTTGCCTTTCTAGGTTTTTCCTAACAAATTTTTTTAAACTGTCTCCCAACCTGTACTTTGCTAAACCACGTTGACAGATTTAAAAGGGAACAGTAATTCTCAAGCTGTCTGATGCCTTCCTTAAGCTGGATATAACTTTTAAGATGCAATATTTGAATTATGTTTCTTTTACTGGATGTTTGCTTTGAGGTTATAGAGGAATATAGAGTCATTCTTCAGCATTACCTTCTTAAATATAGATGAATTATTTGTGATGTTCTGAACTGCTGATAAACCATTAGATACAATTGTGTCTTTTGCTCAGATGTTCCCCACTGTCCAAAACTATTTTATGTATTAGATTTCTATTATTTAAAAATAATAATAATTATTTATTAGATCTATTTATTAGATTTCTAGAAAAGACTAGGAGGAGCTTTCATTTCGTATGTGGGATGAAGCACCTCTGTCGTGTTGCATGCTCTGTCAGTCAAAAATTATAATTTGTCTCTGAGAAACTCCCCATTCAAGATGGATGGCTGTTTGGGAATCTTGTTACAGAAATGCAGCACTGACTCTTGAAATTTTTAAACTTCAAAAGCTGTATTTGAATTATTTATGAATATATCCAAATAACTAGTGAAATTAGTTTTTGTGTGTTTGTGTGTGTGTTTTAAAACAGAATGAGATAGCAATGTATAAGATTGGTTGTCTTGCTATAAATAATTAGAAATCTAATACAGTTCAAGAAATTATCAAATCTGTATGATAGAGTGAAAAAAAACTGGTATTCTCTCTGAGTGTTTGTATATCAGCATTTGAATGCTTTTATGGAAATCATAGAATTTTCTGTGAAGAAATGACAGAGTTGATAGTGTGCCAAGGGGCACCAACAAGTCACCAAGCAAAGAGACAATATTTGGTAGGAGAACAGTTATACAGTATTACACCAAGTTTGTTGCAAGATATATACATACAGCTTTGTCCTCATTCAGTCCAATGGTCATACACATTAATATCAAACAGAGTTCAGTCCATAAATCAGTTCTGTAGTCCGTGTCCTTGTAAATCAATCCAACAGCACTACTTCTTCTTCTCCTCCTCCCCAATCCACAACACCACCACCTTGTGTGTGCTGAGGCTGCTGGCTTTATTCCAGGTTCACCCAATCCTTGACTTCTCTCACAGCTGATACAAGTCTTACTCCATACATCTTGTATCTCCACAGCTGTTTAAATCATTATTCTTACATTCTTTCTTTACATAGATCCTTACAAATACTTACATCATTTCAGGCTCTTTACAACTGATTTTACAAAACTGAATTAACAATTCCCATCATGTTTCTATCAAACCTTTCAAGAAAGAATCTTCCATTTTTCTGGCAGTTATTTAAGCATTAAATAACTTCTGCATGTCAGATCCTGTAGTGTGATAAATACTTATTTGGATGGGTGGTTTTTGTTTTTTTTGAGAAGTGATTGTTTTAAAATACACATTGTTCAACAATTGTCAGTATGGGTGGGGGTCATAGGAAAGTGAAATACAAGTGAATAAGATGATGAGAGCAAAAAGGGAGAACTGTGAATTGATGTACTATGCTTTTTCACCTTTATTTTTCAGAGCCAGCCTTTAAAATCCCTCCGCAAACTGTTGCACCTTTCCTCCTCATCAAATCACTCAATTCCTTCTGAACCCCGATTCCAACCCTTACCAAGCCAGCCAGCTAAATCTTCTTTTTCTGAAGTTCGAATACACCCTATCAGTCAAACTTCCACTACTAGCAGCAGCAACATGCGGCAAGAGTCCCAGTCAAAAGGGAGAACGTCACTCCAGATCCCGGGCCAGATGGAACCAAGTTGGCATGTTTCCCCAGTGAATAGGAGTGCCAGTGATGGGACTTCATACTCTGAGCAGATGCCTTCTAAGAGTGGGCAAAATGGGCATACTTACAGCCGAACAAACCGGTCTCGAATGCCAAACCTGAACGATTTGAAAGAGACTGCTTTGTAATAATGCTATTGCAGGGGTTGCCTAGGGGTTCTAGTGGTGCTGGTGATCGTGGTAGTGACAGAATTCTCCACTTTATAAAAGGTGTGCAATATGGAATATATGGGGTAATGTTCATACCACGTCAATAGGGGTCTTTCAGTTAGATAAACTTTTATTAATTGCCATTCATCTAATCTCATGACAGAAGAATGTGCACTTCAGGGAGAACGAACTCTGTGCCCTTTTCTCTCATTTTACATTCCAGCTTAGTGCACCTCTGTCTCAAAGCTGTATAGGCACTTTGCAGAGTTCAAAGAAATGTCTTTAGATCTGTGCCCTTACAAAAACTTTTGCTGCCTAGATTTTAAAAAAGGGAAAAAAATTCAGTAGGGTTTATGTGATACACCTGTATCCTTAATAAGGGTTTAAAGTTCAGTTGTATGTCTTTATTTGTTTTTTAAACTTCCATATTTGATAGGATTTGTAATCTTTATTTAAGATCTAATATCGTATTGTTATAATCATATCCTATGTTACAACGTAAAAGTTACTTTGAGCTGTTTGAAACATTGTGATGCAGTGCAACAGCTACAGTAGTTTCTATAAAAACTAACTAACCTATATTGCATCAGGAGTATTTTATTATATGCATAAATATATATATATGTATGAATATAAATATAAATGGTAAATAATTGTCTTTTTAAAAATATACTCATTTAAAAGAAAAGTATTGTTATGACACTATCTGCCATATTTTTATACATTTGTGATATAAGTGCAGTATTATACTTCTAATAAAAGGGAATTGAATGTGGATTGAAATATGACTGTAAAATATGAATTTTCCTCTTCTAGAACACTGACACAGAGTTGTATCCAATGATGTCTGTCTACTAATAGAAGGTTCTTGGATACAGTGGAGGCTTCCTTGGTAGAATGAGAAGAGAGGCTATTTTTGCTGATGCACATCACCCTTCCCCATAGTTCCCTCCTATGCTGTAGTCTAGATGTTGTGAATCACCATTTGTTATGGCATAAGAGGGATGGAAGGACGAAGGACAAATAGGTGAAAATTATCTTTCTCTGGTTCCATTGATTGAAACATATTCTGCAGGGAAGAACCTTCTCTTAGTTGAAGGACACCACTGAATTCACCCTATTGGTAAAAAACAAATTGCTACTGTGATTCTGAGACTTCATTATAGTTCTTTTTCTGGAGGTAATAGTCTTATAAAAGTGGTATCTTTTCCCCTAAGTGTGTGCTTTACCTTTCCCCATTGCTGATGAGAGATGAGCATCTGCATTAAGATGGCAGAATTCCAGTACTGCTTACAATCTTCCATCCGGGAGAACTAGCCCATGATAAGAAATTGAAGCAGCTGATCTTTCATTCAATATATGGGGAAGACCAAAGAGTCACAGCACAAATTGCAGGTGGCAACCCAAAGTTGGCATTACACAGCACTATAAATCATGGTATAGGGTTTAATGCCTATATATTGTATATTCTTAGCACTTTGTTTGAAAATGTACTAACCAGAAAGCAAAATGCTATTTAAATAGCTGTGACACTTCCATTTTGTTTCTAGGATTTAGTTTTAAAAGTTATAACATGGATATTTCAGTATGGAAAGAAACCGTTTTCTGCTGAAACTTAATTCCCCTACCCCCAATATCACTTATAAGAATATTTCTGTAGACGTTTAAACTTAACTCATTTCAGAGTACTGGATGTTTTATAATTTCCTATAGAACATTATTAAAATAACTTTTAAAGTGAACTTAAAATATACTGTATGTAAAGTCTAAAATTCCATTTGCTTACAATTAAAATAACTCAGGAAAAAGACAATTGGACAAATGTCATAACTCCATTATGGAGCTGGTATACATGGAAAAAAGCAAGAAAAGAATAAGAACAGAAGTGTCAGAACAATACGTTTTAATTCATCAAGCTTGCACAGCACAACAGTATAATTTAGTCAACTTGTTTTTTCCTTTGCAGTATCTTGTTTTTATCTTCCAAAAAATTAACATGGAGAGCTAGTGATGTTTAACTGTTTAGTAGTACAGATAAATAGAAAGAATGTAGTCTTACTTTAACAATATGGTAAAGTTATGATACAAAGAATATTTAAAAAGCACTATCAGACTTCTTAGTAGGAAGACAGTATTCCTTCCAAAACAGTACCTGAAAACTTCAGTTGCAAGAACTGTGTATCTGTTTTCCTGTTTTGGATATAGATGTTCAATATGTAAAATAATGAATAGATAATTTTATCTACGGAAACATGGTGGGGGATATGGCGGAGTTTGTTTTGTAACTGGATATCTGTTCTATTCATAGCATGTCTTTTGTGATATTCAGATGACATTCCTTCAGTAATACACTCCTAATGTTTCTGTATCCAATGATTTTTTTAAAAAAATGATTTGAAACGGGAGGTCTGAGCAGTATCATGTGAATTTCAAAAGTTGTAGCTTTTTGTTTTAGATTTCATTCACTGAGTAGTACTTCCCTTGCTGGACATTTTCCTAGTTTATTTATAAGACTGCTTGCAGCTCTTTTCATTTATGGAAACCTTCAACTGAAAACATTTGGCATCAGATTAAATATGTTCCTGTTGTTCTGTCCTCTCAAGTTGCTTCTGACTTAATGGCAACACTATGAACTAATGACTCCAAATGGTCCTGTAATTAACAATGTTGCCCTGTTTTTGCAAGCTAAAATCCCTGGCTTCCTTTATTGGGACAGTATCTCATTTTAAGCCATCCTCTTTTCCTGCTGCTTTCAACTTTTCCAAGCATTATCATCTTTTCCAAAGAGTCTTGTCTTCTCATAACATGTCCAACGTATGATGACTATCATTCAGTTATTTTAGTTTTCAGTGAGATTTCAGGATTGATTTGCTCTAGAATCCATTTAAGTATGTAAGGGAAATTGCTAATTGGTCTTCTGTATGTTTAAAATTAGTATTACCATTTTAAATATAAATTCCAAAATATCTGAAGTCTATTTTTTCAGTGGTCCAGGAAGGAAAAAAACTTATTTTTAGTAGGCTTTTTTCTTACGTCAAAGGCCTTGAACTCAGTTTGGTTTTCATATCCAGCTAGTGTTATGTTAGTCATGTAAATATGCTAAGAAGTAAAAAAAATCTTATTAGGCTAATGGAGATTTGCTAGCTTCCTAAGAAGAGCAAAGCCTATTACGCATTAACCTATTATTCAAGTGTGAGCTTTTCTCTTCACTGTGATTAGAAGAGTAATTTACTGTACTTACTAAAGCTTTACCAAGGATAGAGCAACTGAGCTTAGTTAATGGGTTTCTTTTTTTTTTTGCTTAATTTTATTTTTGCTTTCTGATGGCACCATTAGTATAAAAGATTTTGTTAGAGTGATATATACTGCCAAAAGTAGGATATATTCATTGATATCCCATACAAGTTGCAACTAGAGTAGGCCCATTGAATTAATAGAATTTACAGGTGTTTTCCAAATTTCCACTGATTCAGTGAACCTACTCTAGTTGCAACTTCCAGATTTCAGTAATTGTCTTTTAGGAATTTAAGGAATATTCTTAATGTTGGAAAAGAAACTAACCTTGATGTGTTTCCCATTTTTCTATGAAATAAATGTTTAAAAATTGTTTTTTCATAAGTGGATAATTTTGCAAAAGTTATACTGTACATCGGTTTCTGAATCCTGTAAGTGTCTTGCTTAAAATTTGATATGTTTTCTATTGCCAATTTTTTTAATGAGAAGATATCCACTCTCTCTTCACATAATCTTTTGAAGCTATAGGTATACTAGAAGAGATACATAAATGTAACTGAATAGAAGATTATTGTTTTTGGCTTATTTGGCTTTTGTACAGAAGTCATATGATTTCAAAATGTTCTCTCTCCCTTCTTTCTTCCATTTTTCTGCACCCACTGCCCCCTCTAGAATACAAGTAATCCATAGTGGCAGTTCAAATATCCAGTTGCCTTAAGTGTTTTCTGTTTTTATTTTTTATACTAGATGGGGATTCAAGTAAAACCGAAGACATTGCTGTGATTCCTCCCCTACCCTTAGCACCTTGAAATGACCATCAAAGACAGGGTGGGGACCAGTAATAAGAACATATTTAAGCTTCTACTGTACTTTTAAGTAGCAATTTAATCTGTGATTGTGAGTGAACATAGTAGAGAAAATGTGCTTCTTGCAATCCTTAACTTTGAGCATCAACTGTCACATCTTAATGCTGTTGTGAGACAGAATGATGAATTCAGTCAGACTTTTGCAAAAATATTCTTAACTGAAAATGCAAATGCATAGTCTGCCTTTCTGGCATAACCATAATGCTGAGGTTTTTGGTTTTTGTTTTGTTTTGTTTTTGATGTTAATGAACGTCTCCCCAAGAACTGTACTTTAGTTCTTTGTGTCACACTTCCCTACTACAGTTAACTGTGATAGGCCTAGATTATGTCGTAGGGAAATGTTATTAGAAGAATCTTTAAAACGAAAACACCTTTTTGATCATCTTCTTAAAACAATTAAAATATATTAGCTAAACCAGATTATTTTACAAAAACAAGTCTTTCCTGGTCTAAATTCATTCTCCTCTATCTCTTGTCATAATGGTGGCTGGCACATACACTAGAACTTGTAGCAAATTAGGAAGAAAGCCATTTAAAAAATCTTTGATATAATCTAGTGATGGTCAAGAACTTTTAATACAACATAGTTGCCTCCAGGACAAGTTAACATTATATTGGTTCCTTATTTTCTGCTGCATTGTTTTCATTCAGCTGACTTCACAACAGTGCAAAAATCTCTCCCTAGGATGTGAGTGTGCGCACTTAGCAAAATCTTAAAATTATAGAATGAACATTCATATAAACAATAAAAATGGTAATATCAATGAAATTCATTTGCATAGTGTATTTTATCCTGGAGCCTGATAGATCTGAAGTATAATTTCACCAATCCAAGTGCATCAGTTTTTCAAACTAGTCTTGTGAAAGTACTATCAAATCTGGCATGTTCAATGATACGTACCACAGTAGGGTCTGCTAGCAATCGGTCTTATTGGATTTGCTCCTTCTATTCCATGTTGCAATCTCCATTTGAGATGGAAAGCAGCAAATATTACTGGATACTGGTTTTTGGCTTCAGGTGCCAAGCAGACAAGCAGCACAAGAAAGAGGAGGAACAATGACAGCGTTTGGGGAAGATAGATTCAGTTAGTGAGAAGACAGACTTGGTGAAATTCTTTTTTTTAAAGGTAGTTGTGTTAATCCATTTCAATATAACAAAAACAACAAGCATTGGGCCACCTTTAAATCTAGCAGATATATTTCAGAGTGAATCCCACTGCTGGTGTCTTGCCCAAAAACTTTCAGAAGCCAGAAGCTGTGAGTTCTATATTGTTATTTCTGATGAATGTAAATAATTTCCATGCAACCAGGTAAAGGTGACAGGGATCTTTCAACTAGAAGTTGCAATACAGTATAATTGGCTTTTCAAAAGTGAGATGATCAGTACAAAAAGTGTCAATAAGGTGCTGTACACCCTTATTCATGATAGAGAACTGCTTAGCTCCCATTTCCCAATATTGGCATGTGATGTTTGCTATGTTCTTTGTAGTCTGTGTGACTTGTGCGCATGGCTTTGTCTGTGCCTGGGCAGAACACTTCAGAAACTCCCGGAGTTCAGTGTAGGCATTTTGGCAGGAGCACCACCCCCACTGTGAGCCTGGTTGCAGTAAGAACAGTAGGTGTATGTTTTAGATTTTAAATAGTGCTTCCAGTGGTAAACCTTACACTGTTCTAAGCTTGGTCCTTACACTGCTTAAGGGTCTTCCTTTCTTTGCTTTACATTTATTTTCATATTGTGTTGCCTTGTATATTGTTCCAAGGAAAATAATCAGGGAGATAACCATAATCATGCTCTGATAACCACTGTTAAACTTGGTCAGGATGTTCACTTGCTCACTTATTTGCCAGTTTATCTAGGACACAAATTTTACCTCTACTGCATTAAAAGGTGTTAATCACTTTTCTGCATTAAAATTTAATTCATAGGATGTGATGCAGCCAAATGGAATGTCTTCTATGTTTGGGTATGGCCCCTCAGTTTTTTTTCCTTTCCTATAGACCAGTGGTTCCCAAACTAGAGTCCCCATATGTTCTTGGATTAAAACTAGAAATCCTGGCTAGCACAGCTAGTCGTGAAGGATTCTTGGAGTTTTAGTCCAAGAACATCTGAGGACCCAACGTTGAGGACCAGTATTATACTATAGAAGAACTAATTAAATATAAGTTAGGATTGGAAATTTATGGAGCATTAATGGATAAACAGGATAATTTAACAACATTTGTGTTGTTTATTAAGATCAGTGTTTTAGCAGAGAAAACTGAGTAATCTTCCACCTTCCCCATTTTTTAAAAAACTTCAGTGTTATTTTAGAAGAATCATGGTAAACAACATGACAAATTTAGCAGTAGTACATCTTTATGTATTAATTTTGATTCTTTGGGGAATTAAAAGTGCCAAACGGAAATCTTCAGGATGAAGGAGAAGTAGCTTTGGTTGGTCATTTGCACGCTTGGAAATCCAGGATTCTGGGACTGTCAAATGATTGGAAATGGCTTATTGATTAAAATGGGAGATAATACTTTTTGGAGACCATATAGCTTTATGAGAGAAAGGGTAAACCAAAAGTAACTAATTATGAAGACAGTTTTGCAGGCTTTTGAAATATTAAGTGGGGAAAATTATCCATGTTCTTTGTCCCCTTTTCAGAAAATCTCAGGTGCACAAACTTAAATTGATCCTGCTTTTGTTGCTGAAAGAGATGTTATGTAAGTCTTTGAATTAAGACTGACTTTGCAGATATGTTGGTTATTTGAAGAATATTTCGTTTCATCTTGATACACCATTTGTAAAGTGTTTATCAGACTCTGTATTGCCTTGTAGTTCCACCATTCTGATTGTTTTCAGGCATGTATTCCATTCTTAACTCCTGTATGATTTTTATTGTTTATGTAAATAGTGTGAGAAAGACATTTGGGGTGGGGAAACACATTCTCCTGTGTTTAACCTTTATTTATCAGCATGGGAATTACTCATTTTTACTGAGCACAATGTATTTTTGAATGGGCCTTCCAAAATATGTCTTTAATAAAAATGCAGGTTTTGCACTAGAAGAATTGAGAGTGTCATCCCTGCAGTCCTCAAGCCTACTACATGCATCCATATTTTCTTTCAACCTTGCTTTGTTTATTTGTCTGCTCTTAGCTTTTTGGAATTGAGCCACTGAACTTCAAGTACGTGGTTGCTAACAAATTGCAAACATTGGAATCACCACAGTCAAATGAGTCACTTCTGAGTTCAAATATCCATTTATCCCATGGATAGTGGCTTGCCTCTAGAAATTGCTGACTTGATGTGCCATTTTCCCCTTTGCATCCTTGTCCACATGACTACTGAGCAGGAGAGGCCATTAAGAGAATCCCTCCTGAAATCAATTCCTGCTCTTCCAGGACAACCAATAGGGATTGTAACAATAAGGATAACATAATTATGCAATATTTGTTTTATTGTGGTCTTAACTATTCTCCAGTCAGAGTGAAGAGAACAAATAGTACATAGATGGATTTTGGCATCTAAGAAATTGTGTCCTTTTAATTTTGAGCATCCACTTCATCTTCTTTCATGGCAAGGCAAAGCGTCAGTTAATCAAGTCAAAATAGCCCTATATGCTTATGGTCAATGTTCCTGCAGATGTGCAGGTGGTGGTCATATGCTGCTTTAATGCTATCTTACCATCAACATCCCTGTCATGTGCAGAACATCATGAAAAGAATGTACAATTGTAAGTCCATAAGCACTCTTTTTAAAATAACCCTACTTCATGTGTGGAGCAGGGGAATGTATCAGGTGCAAGCAATCATGTATGGTCCTCTTCTCCATCGACCTGTGGTACATAGGAGGAACACACCAAATAAGTTTTACTTCGTGTGGTGTTCTGTACAGGCCTCAAGGTTTCTTACTCAATTAACATTTTCCTCTTGTAACCATAGGGTTCACAGTTTCTGCTTAGTAATTTCAGAATTTTTGTACAGTTTGTACCCATAATTTTTTTTCTTAATTATTTTTTCCTTCCCCTAGCCCAGTGAAAGGCTGTGTCATATCACTGTTATTGCTACCTCTCTTACTATTGGGTTGGAAAAGGTGTACATCTGGGATTGGAAATTGTTGACTGCACTCACTGCTTCTTGTATGCCAGACATTTGTATAATGTGCTGTTAGGTAATGTGGACCAGCCAATTTGTTGACAGTATCATGATATATATTTTATTCTAAGCTAATGTGTATCTTGGTAATTTGCCATCCCAATCAATTCACTGCTTCATGGTCAAGGTTTGTTTCCCTACAAATTGGAACATCTGTGCCATTTTTATTGTTACTGTTGCTACTTGCTTGCTTTTACCTCCATCTCTTTTTTGATGTGTGGGGTTCTTTTTGTATGTTTAGTACGAATTCTTTGGCTTGAGATAGTATTTAGGTCATATTTCCTATCTATATTTATTCTAAAAACTGGTCCTTACTGTTGTATCCTCAGCAGTTCAGGATTCAGGTACTCTCTGCTCCACGAAAAATTCTCTTTTTCGTTCAACCGCAAGCATCAGCTGTCAGGAAGTGCACAATTAACTGAAGACAATAAATAAATTGGTCATGCAAACGCAAGTGAGAAGTCTGAATCTATCCTAGTAGCAGCTGTGAGACCGTGAATATAGAACCTCGGGCATGTTGTTTTCAATGGCAGCCTGCTACCTTATACAAGAGGAGTTTGGTATCCAGTAGGTAGTATTTGGTCTTCGCCCAACTGTACTACCAATGATGCTTTTGTGAGAACTGCATCCATCTTGTATGTTGCAGATGTAAACACTCACTAAATTCTTTGTTCTAGTCAATTTATGCTATCTTGAAGGGTCACTTCAGACAGGAATTTTCAAGGCCAATTAGATTCCTGGTCTCCTGGCAAGGGAAAGATGAGCACAATTTCACTACCACCCCAAGGTGGTCTCCTTAATTTGCACAAAATGTTTCCTCACAAAACTAGTGTCCTTTTCCTGTAAGAAACAAAGCACACACAAAGTACAGAAGCACTGGCTACCTGCAAACTACCTTTTCTGGTCTGTGGAACTAAGCAGGATTGCCATTTTGTGCAGTTTGCCTTAGCTTGGATCAGTCTCCAATTTTTCTTCAGTTGCACAAAAATGACCTCTTGGGGCTGACATAAAACACTCCACCTTCTGGCAGGATAAGAAGAAGAATTTTGTGGCACATAGGGACAAGGCAAGTAAGGATTTGCATCTCTACTCTATACAACAAATATGTACTTGCCACTAAAGTTCTGGTTTCCCTACCTGAGTATGACTTCTGATTATTCTTTAAGAATCGTTTGGCATTTACAGAATTGAGCTGATCTCATGATGCTGCTGCTAGACAAGAGTCAAGAATGTATTTTGCCATAATGTTGCTCTAAGAGGATCCAGTTTTCCCTAGTGCAGAAAGGCTGGTCAACGAGGGGACTTGCAGCTCCAACTGAGATACAAGTGAAAACTAAATGAATGATCATGTGCATGTACAGGCCTGAGTGATACAATGCAATTGGCTATTGACAAGAAGGCAATTAGCTCACAAATGAAAATTGATCAGGGCAGGCCCTACTATATAGGCCTACTGGGGCAGCCACCATAGACAGCAGATGATGGTGCAGGGTTGGATGGATAGAGAGCTATGTGACCTGTACAGGTCTGCCATGTTCCCTAGGCTAGCCTTCTGTTATCAGCATGATGCTGTGGTCACTGAACAACATAGGATTCAGCTGCCAGTCTGATTCAGCTTTGGCATAGGCAAGAAAGGAATCTTGTCCTTCATCTCAGGCAGTAAAATGTATTGGATCAGCCTGTTAATCAAGGACAGATAAAGGCAAAGGTTGCCCTTGACATTTAGTCCAGTTGTGTCCAGTTCTGGGGCGTGATGCTCATCTCTGTTTCCAAGCCATAGAGCAAGCGTTTTTGTCCGAAGACAGTTTCCATGGTCACGTGGCCAGCATGACTAGACACGAAATGCCATTACCCACCAAGGTGGTACCTATTTATCTACTTGCATTTACATGCTTTCAAACTGCTAGGTCAGCATGAGCTGGGACAAGCGACGGGAGCTCACTCCGTCACGTAGATTCGATCTTATGAGTTGCATCCCTCTAGAACAGGGGTGGACAATTAATTTCTATAGGGGGCCACATGAAAAATCTGAACACTGTTCGGGGGTGGGTAGTAATAGCCCCCCATTGGGTGAGGCCCTGCAGGGAACAGACTACAAGGCTGACATAGTTAACTCCCTAAACTTTTTAGGGAGTTACCTATGTGAGCGCTGTAATTCGTTCACTGCGGGGGGGGGGAGAACGAAGAAAAAAAAACCCTGACACTCAGCTCTACTACTCTAACTCACCTGTCCTTCATTCCCCCACGGCCTTCCTCTCCGACTGTCTTCTATCCTGCGCAGGCATGATGCGTCATCACGTCGCCTGCGTGAGGATCGCTTCCAGCCTCTTGAGCCACAGGCTCCGCAGCCCAGGTCTGCTCTAAAAACTATACACAGTATTGAACTTTTGGCAGGTAATCAAAACCGTATTATTCTGTATGATCTTAGGTTTTTAAAGCTGAGTTTAGGCTCTAAAATTTGTGCATCATTTGTTTTTAAATATTTTTATCCATCGTATTGAACGCTTCTCTAGAAACCTTGATGGGCACAAAAGCAATACATAAATAATTTAAATAAATATTTCCAGAGGTTTGACATGTTAGACTGTTGCAGGAAAAACAGGAGTCATAGGGTTGCTGTCTTCCATTTTCCCTTCTTCTGAAGATGCCAGTGACAGTGAAGGCATACACACACACACAAATGTTATTGTTAAAATAACAGTCTCTCTTTTTTAAAAAAAAATTATCATAAATAAGAATGATGGGATGAAAGAAGTCCCTAGCATGATTACAGTTTTATTAAGATTGCTCTTTTTATTCTTACGTGAAAAAGAAATCAAGCTCACTGTGGAAGAGCACTGGTGTGAATGATCAGGACAAACCTGCTAATACGCTACCACTAAGATTAAAAT